CCCCAAAACCCCAAAACCCCAAAACCCCAAAACCCCAGAGTACTTGAGATCTATTGAATTAATTAAACGAGTTTTGGCCAAAAAGGTCATAATCTCCAAATGAGTTCTTCACTTCGTATTGACGAGTGTACTGTGTCCTGCTTGGATCGTAGTTGGGCCTCCACCTATTGGACGGCCTGACATTTTCCTTATTGTCAATACATCTGAGGTCGAGTACTCTGGGACGACGAGGGTAGTCTTTATCTTGATAGTGATCGCTTTCATCTTTGGATGCTCCAAATGAGAATATGTTTAAGAGACTATCTTTATCCTTTCTGGGAGATTCCTTTCTGTATGCATAGCGATGAGATATTGAGTCTCTGGAACTTGTTCTCCTGGGCCTTTTATGCAAAATGCTGCCATAGGAATCATCTGAGAACTGTAATTTCTGAGGTGAAACTTCAGATTCAGTATCTCTAATTCTGTACTTTCTAAACCTTATTCAGCTGTCTTCCTTGTTGCTAGGAGTATCACTTTGGTACTTCTTCAGTATAGGGGGTCTGTGGTCAGTACTATTTTCAAGTTCCCAGAGTCTACTGGCTTTCCTGGACCTTGTTGTCGAAGATCACAGGCTATCGCATTCTCTATAGCAGCCTTTCTGAGGAGTGCCAAGTAAGGAGTCACAGTACCGCTTAGGGGAGGTGAACTGGGCTAGAGCGAGTAATTGGCTTGTTCGTTGCCTTCTCTTTTCTCGTTTCTTATAATATCTCCTGAGAAGTTTTAATTTTAGGTCCATATCTTTCTTCTTGGAATAGAAGTGGTGGATGACTATGACTATTAGCAGGCCAATGAACCCAACAATGGCTACTACGAGGAGAATTAGCTGGGATTCAGGGATTTCTGATAGCAGAGATGAGTCAAGAGATTTCATAGTTGATCTATCTGTTTAAATTTATGAAATATTTTTCAAGTGATTTTAACTCATTTGGGGTTTTGGGGTTTTGGGGTTTTGGGGTTTTGGGG